ACTTCCATAAATATTTCAAGTAAATAAGAGAAAATGTGCCTCTAAGTTTTTATGTGCCTCTCGTATTCTAGAGGAGGCAGTGGGGATGATGACACTCGGTGACAGTGGTGACTAAAGGTGGCTTAGAGGCAGTTTTGCCTGGACCAGATATGGACTAGGCTTCTGTCTGTCTCTTTCGTCCTTTATGCTTGTTGGTCATTTTCATGCAGGCATCTTAATGCATGCTTTTTACCATGCCCTGTTGATTATGTCTTTGTATTGCTGGACAACAAAGGTCTGAACCTTGTGGCTCCTGGGAATCAATGTAACATGAGAGAAACATTTTGGGAGAATTTTTGGAAAGGAGTTTACTACTTGGAATGCAAGATCCAGCTTCATGTAGAACTGATTTTGAGAGGTGGCTAAAAAGAATGCAATAGAATTTTTAAAAAGAGAAAATGTCCCGTTACCTAAGTATGCTACAAATGAACCAGACAGACAGGCAAATGGAATAATGGGACAAACAGGTCCACAGGGGAGGGCAAGCAAGAGACACAGCCAGAAAAGGTGACAGAAACAAGAAAGAGGAAGCTGAACTGAGGCACTGCATAACTAACTCAAGAATGCAACTTACTTCCATTATGTTTTCTCTCTAGTAAAATATTGTCTTCGCTGGCAAGGCATGGGGAGAGAAAATTAACATTTTATATATATGGGAAACTACTGCTGTGGCTAAATCCATATTTAAAAATATTTAGTTCAATATCCTAAAGGGAATATAAAAAATAAACATGGAGAAAAGGGCAAACCATAAATCTGTTTTCTTCAATGGCAAAAAAAGGTTCAAAAGAATTCAGGCATATATTTCATGTCTTCAGAATTCTGCCGCATTTTAGGCTGAAAGCAGAATACTATGAATCCAAACTATGTAGTAAGACCCTGTACCAAATACTTAAAAAAAATTATGCCACATTTTAAATAAAGCTCTAATTCTGTCTTGGATGGAAAAATTACCATTTTTTTAATTATATCTTTTTCTTTCTTCTGCTGAAGGATTGGCTGCAGGGGTGGGAATTCCTCTGTGCTTCGTTTGCTGATGACGTGGTGCCCAAGGTGGTAGGCAGCTTCGATCTGGATTGGGGTGAGGATGTCCCGCACATCTTTCTAAGGAAATTAGGAAATTACAAAGCACAGTAACAAAAATGAGCATGTTCAGGCTTGTGTATATATAGTCACATATGCATATATATGCATAGATATGTTCATGTTCATACACACACACAAATCATTCCTAGAATAAGGTCAGATACAGAATAAGCCAGTCCTGTCTCTAAATTCTTTTGCATGGCCGCAGATGTGGCACAGTGGTATAGCACCCCCCTAATAAGCACAAGGCCATACCCAGAACTACACCAAAAATGTTTAATATGTATATTTTTACACAGTGCAGAGGCATTTCATGTTACGACAAATACAAAAAAGTACTGTAAAATGAAGAACTATAACTCATAGTATTTGTAAGAGATATCCATTTCAGCATATCCCCTTCCATGCTCTTTGTTATGCTTTTTAAAGTAACTTGGCATGATAACACAAACACTTAAAAACTATACTGTTTCAAAGTTCTATTCAACACTAGTCTACCTAAGTTGTATTCTCTTAGTAACATTTGGATTGAGTATGATTCCATTGACTCCATATTTTCTATAGGGTGGGCAGGTGGTTTCTCTCTCTTTCTCTGTCTGTCTGTCTCTCTCTGTCTCTGTGTCTCTGTCTCTGTGTGTGTGTCTGTCTGTTTCTATCTCTCTGTCTCTATCTCTCTCTCTCCCCCTCCCCCTCCCCCTCTCCCCCCCTCCCTCCCTACTATTCCTTATGGATCATTTCCCACTATAATGTCTAACACATTATGACTAGTATATAAAAATGTTATTTTATATCTTATTACTAATTGTTCTCTTGGGTTTAGTGTCTTTTTATAGTTCACAAAGTGTTCTTGGGCATATTTATTACTTACACAGGAATTATAACTCATTCACAATCTATTCTGCTCTGAGTGGTATTCTTAAATTTTACTAATGTCTATGTAATGGTTCTTATTCCTACTCTTATGACACGTAGTCAAAAGTATAATTTGATTAATTTTTAAATTTCTTGTCCATCTACACCAAAGAAACAACTCAAGTTATTAGAATTGACAATTCCTATATTTTAATATTTACTTCTAAGTCAGCATCATTTTTATCTTTAAAAGAAGTTTTCTAGGAGCTTATAAAAATATTTTTTTATCTTTTCACTTGATTATTAACTAGCTTCCTCATTGAAAGCATCCAATAGTTCATTAAATAAGCTTTTTACTAGATAGTGGGCTGAAACCCCAGTTCTAAGAACAGAGGGAATTCAGGGAAGGTTTCAAATATAGCATGTGTCTCTTAGGAAGCACTGATTCAAGACCTCTCTCAGCAGAAATATGGTTTCTAAAGCCTGCTGAACAAGGTAATTATTTTCTCTTAGAGGATAGGCTAATAAGATTTTACTAATAAAGTAATCCACTGGTATTTATATGAAACTCCAATTGACAATGAAATTGCATGCAAGAAGATAGGTTGAAAGCAAAAATATGAAAATTGGACATGATTTGAGGACTGGAGAGGGCGGTACCCAATCAGCAAATATTGTCCAACACATGGCCCAGGGCATGGCAGAAAACTTATACAGGCTTTATTTTCCTTGGCATGAGAGCTGTTACTATACCCAGAAGATAATTTGAAGAATTGGTCACAGACTTTAATGTCTTTCATACTAACAAATTAAATTTAAAGCTCAATTTAACTCCACGTTTCACGTGCTCATTTCAATCCACAGGTTCTCATTTAAAGAAATGATTCAACAAAAGTCCTTCTTGAATACAATGGAGACACTGGAGAGTTTCCAGCCAGGGTCGATGTATTATCTGAGACCACCCTTGAAGTTCCTCAGGGCAGGCCATGACACACTAGTGGGCAGGCCTCCCACTGAAACACCTCCATGGATAAAGCTTCCGCTTCTCTATAATCATTTATGGATTGGGATATGGCTGTAATATCATTTCCTCAAAGCAAATAAAAGCAGACTATTTCCAAAGCTCATCAACTAATAATCTCTCATAGACAGGATATGATGGCTGTGGCACAGACTATTACTGTTATTTACATTTACAATAACTTTTGATAAAAATGAATGAACTAAAGATGACCCATGCTGCATAGAAAGTGCATGTATTCTGCCTTTATGTAATTGTTAGCAAAAAGGATCTCAGTAAGTTTCCTCTTACACCATCACCAGTGTCTGTATAGAATGGTCAGAAGTAAGATGGCGATGGGAAAATCAGGTTCAATTCTCGGATGCAACACTTTCCCAACCTTGGACAAGCCACTGAGCCTTCCTGTGGCTTAGTTACCTGAAAACGTGGATGATGGTGATGGTAACGACACCTGTGCACTGTGCTGTGCTGATTAAGTGACATATCATATGTACAGTAAAAAGCATATTAAATATAATGTATATATGTGGCAATCAAGGAATTATTAAATCTGTCTCTTAAAATTAGAAACGCCAGTGAACATGTGGGAGGAACAGCTTATTTGGACTACTGCCAACCAATGAACTGTAAGCAGATAGTGAGTGCTATAAGAAGTATTAGCCTTCTTTTAATTAAATGATATCTGGAATATTCAGAGGCTGAATCTGAGTGGTTCAAAGTCTGATTATGTTTCTATCCTTCTGCATAGAGATGCATTTATTAAATTACTTGGTAAGTGATCATTTCAACAGGAAACCTTGACCACACAGGAATGCTGCAAACCAGGGCCCAAATCCCAAGTTATCAACTTGTGAAAATGGAACAGCTTGAAGCCCTGAGTATTACAATAGCAAACTTGATTAAATTATTCCCTAGGTGTAGGAGCTCAACAGCCACTGATTGTCCCTCCACATGTCCACTGTTTTAATTCTTCTCAACAAGCTTGCTTTGACCAAATCACATGTTATCTAATTCATACTAATTTTCTACAAGATCTTCTCTACATCTGGTGGATATTACTTTCATTATCCTAATTAGCTATTAATTATGCTTTTCTTGCAATATATGAAATGTATGTGCACTCTTGCAAGAACTGCATTTGACAGATATTCACACTTATTTAACTTTAACAGCTCTGCCTAAAAGCAACTGTACTATTAAAAATAGCTTAAAGGTATGAATTAAGTATTTGGGAGGGAAAACAGGTTTGCTTAAAGTTTTTTAATTTGGATGGGGATGCACTATTATTTTCAAAATAGCAAAACTTCCATTCCACATTTTTATGGACAGTCACATAAAACAGAGCACACATAAGCATGTGGATAAGCACGTGCCTAAAATCACACAGTCTGCCTTCTTCATTGACTTTCATGAAGACCTGTATTTCTGGCCAACTTGAGGGCTGTCCTGTAGGCCCATGTCTTTTTGCTGCTTTTGTGTACAATAGGCATTTAAAGCACTCTGCCAAAACATTTGAAAAGTAGTAAATGAAAAATAATGCCTGGGCATACACTTTTGAAGATATCTGCTCATGGGTCTCCTATGTACAAGAAGGGTCTGGGAACACAAAGCTGGAGGGCAGTACCTGCATCACAGTCCACAGCCCCCAAATCCAGGGAGATGTGTGCGGGATGGGTACAGCAAGACTTGACTGTGGAAGGAGAGCCAACGCCATCTACACCTCCAATGGGGCAGTGGGGCTCTAAGATACTAGGAGGATGGTAATCAAGAATTCTGACCATATTTATTGCCTTAAAATACCCCTCCAGAACCAGTGTAAGGTTGAGAAGGGAGAAAGTTGAATCCAGGGCATAGATTCAGACCTGAATCTGCACCATAATCTGACACTACAATCACTATCTAGTAAGTTTAGTTACTAGAGAGTGTAAAGAACTATCCAGAAACTGGGCCCTGTAATTTCCTGGGAAGAGTTACTCCTTCCAAGACAGATGCCCTAAGCATTATAACAAGAGAAGTCACTCTGATTTCCCCCTCAGAATTGGTACAAAGGATACAGCATCCATAAATCTGTTAAATATTTATTGGATCTCTACACTTTGTAATGAATTGTGCAAGCTCTACCAAGACAAGAATACAAATATGGGAGAGCTAATATCCTGCTCCATAGACTTTACAATTAAAAAGAAGGATTAGCATGTGCTTCGATAATAAATCCAGTTCTAGAATAAGATATCAGTGTATTGATGCAGTGCTCTTGCGCTTATATTTTTTAAGAGTTATGCATTCATATAGAATCAGCCCAGTGTGTGTTTTGGTTAAAAAGTAACTGCTTAGCTATAAAGGTAAATCGTAGTCATTTGTAGGAAAATGGATACACCTTGAGACCGTACTTTTAATAAATCTGACAGACGAGCTTAAATACTGCATGGATTCTCTCATTGGGAAGCCCCAATTATAAATAAAGAACAAAGTAATAGATAGCAGTAAATAGGGACAGAGATTTCTCAAATTGGAAGGGAATCAAGAGATGGAGAGAGGGGAGGAAAAGGGATGTAAAAGAGGAATTAAGCTGTGTTATGTACAAGCACCGACTCCATAGGGGGGATGTCAAGACTGTGCACTGCAAACATGGACTAATGAAAATAATGTCATTAAAAATAAATGCTTGGGCACAAATCACACCACTAAATATGTACATCTATTGCTTGACAATATAAGTAAATGGGATGACAGGAATATAAATAAAGGATTTACTAATCAGATATACATTTATTTCCTTAAACTTATGTTGGAAAAGATGGATTTGGGAAGTTACCTGAAGTCTTTAACTATCTGTATTTTAGAAATCCTACATTAATGAAAAGAATACACTAATGCGCATAGGTAGGCAGGCTGATATCATGATTTTAGTGCAAGAAGTAAAGGCTGGAACTCACTGGATCTCAGGACTTTTGTGAGGATTGCCATTCCTCAGCCAAGAGCTAGGCTACGTGTTTCTAGCTTTAATGAAACTGCTACTGGCAGACAACCTTGTCACTTCTTCTGTTTCCTGAATGTAGCTCCCTTCTCCTCTGGTGCCAGCAAATGTGTTGCTACGGTTCCACCAAGATTAACCAAGGAATATCAGCTATGGAAATGTTAGTGG